GATGAAGAAATTTCATCCCGAGTATACAAGTTTGACTATCCAATTCGTTGGCTTCAAAGTCCTTCAGATGCAAAGGCAATAGGATTTAGAAGAGTTTTGTTTTCAAATAGAACTAACGCATTTATGTTCGCAGTATATTTTCATGGGCAGTATAAAGGTTCTGATGGTCTAATAGACAAATTTGACGAAATGAGAATCTTTACAGTTCGTTCAGACGAAAGTCTTGAGAAAACTCTAAATGACTTTCAAACTCAAATGAACAAATATTATTGGGAATTTCAAGAAAAATACGACTCTTTACTAAATGGAACATACTATCTGAAACTAGAATATGACAAGATGAACTCCACCGTTTCATTTCAAAAGATTGAAATTAACCCTCCAAGAGATACAGAGTTTTTATATTGGAAAGTAGACAAACGTTCTTGGGCACAATTTCTTCGGTTACTAAACCAGAACGAACCATTACCACCAGATGGTCCATTTAAATTTATACTTCCACCAGCAGATTTGACAGTTTATAGAAACGTGTTTGACCCTCAAAATGTTATGTGTCATGCAAGTTTCAGTTCAAGCAACAATAGTTTTCTATGTATTGGTAAGGACTTTTATGACTTTGCTTCTAAATTCTACGAACCACCTAGTAACAGTTTCTCTGACTTTCAAGTTTGGTTCACAACAAATGGTGTGCAACATATTATTCCATTGTACTATGACTTTTATCTCGAATTGTCTTTCATATATAACTACGGAAAAGTGCTGAAAAAGTATTGAAAAATAATGTTTATGTTAGCATGTTAGATCTAACATTTTTTCTAACATCGTAGAAAACTCATGAAAACAATTTATTTTTGACACTTTCACAAAAAACATAAAAAAGTGCAGCTAAACGTTAAGGTTTACTGAACTGGTTGGATGTCGCCTTCACAGGTTATGTAGAATGGTTGACCCGAGAAGTGGAACAGTGCTCTGAGAATTTGTATAATTCGTGGAATTGGACTCTCTCTGTTTGGTATTTTTATCCAAGGACGTTTGTTTAGGAACTTAACAAGAGCTTCTCTTTTGGCGTCCTTTATGTCGTCGTAGGCTGTCCCGTCTGGTATTTGAATTGGAATTTCAGTCGAAGTCTCGAGATTCAAGACAGCCCTTCCAGAAATAGTGGTGAACTTGACCTTGGGCTTCATGACCTTGCGCAAGTAGTCTTTTACGCAGTCGTTTATTTAAATTAGGTAAACTGCCTCGTCAAATCCTTCTGGCATTCCGAGTCCTTCCATCCGACAGAAAAAGTCCTTCCTTCCAACAGGAAAAGTTTTTCCTTCCGACAGAAAAAATTTTTCCTTCCGACAGAAAAAATTTTTCCTTAAGACAGAAAAAATTTTTCCTTAAGACAGAAAAAATTTTTCCAGTTGTCCGTCCGTAAACCATTCAAATTTTCGAAAATTGAGAACTTTTTGGTCGAACTTCAGAAAAAGTTTTTCCTTCCAACAGAAAAAGTTTTTCCTTCCGACAGAAAAAGTTTTTCCTTCCGACAGAAAAAGTTTTTCCTTCCGACAGAAAAAGTTTTTCCTTCCAACAGGAAAAGTTTTTCCTTCCAACAGGAAAAGTTCTTCCTTCTGACAGGACACAAACGAATGTCCCACGTCCCACCAACCCAGTCCATTCCCAAACCAGAGGAACCTAAAGAACCACAACAGTCTCCTCAGCAAGCTCAGTTCCAGCAAGTACCTCCACCAAATTACTACCAATTTCCACCTCAAGGTTACTACCCACCACAAGGCTTCCCGAACTACCCTCCTCTGCCTATGCCTTACTTCCCCAACCCTTGGATGTTCCAGCAAGCTCCACCCCAGCAATTCCAATCTCAATCCAAATCGAAGAGAGACCAAGAGTTCGAAGAAGGTCTGAACCGTTTACGCAAAGAGTATGCCACAGCTCCAATTGAGAGAAAGTTGTTCCCGGACCAAAAATATATTTTAGGGTAGATGGTTAGATCTAACATGTTTTCTACCCTCTTGAATTTTCATGACTTCTTCGTAAATGTTTTGTCAAGACTTCTTCGTAAATGTTTTGTCAAGACTTCTTCGTAAATGTTTTGTCAAGACTTCATCGTAAATGTTTTGTCAAGACTTCTTCGTAAATGTTTTGTCAAGACTTCTTCATCGTAATGAGCGTAAATCAGACAAAAATAATGTTTAGGTGAAGTGGTGCGATCTCACCTGTTTTTTCACCTCTTTTTCACCTCTTGAATTTGTCATGAATTTCCTTAAGATAGAAAAAATAAAGTTAGTTTTATTTTTTTATTTTGTATGTTAGATATGATTTCAGGGATTTTTTTGACGAAGTGTTACTCTTCACTTCGTCAAAAAATAACAGTTATCTAATGAAAAAGTGTCATTTTTTGTATTTTTTTGTATGTTAGATATGATTTCAGGGATTTTTTTGACGAAGTGTTACTCTTCACTTCGTCAAAAAATAACAGTTATCTAATGAAAAAGTGTCATTTTTTGTATTTTTTTGTATGTTAGATATGATTTCAGGGATTTTTTTGACGAAGTGTTACTCTTCACTTCGTCAAAAAATAACAGTTATCTAATGAAAAAGTGTCATGATTTCATCGTAAATGTTTTGTCAAGACTTCTTCGTACATGTTTTGTCATGACTTCATCGTACATGTTTTGTCATGACTTCATCGTACATGTTTTGTCAAACATGAACGTAAATGTTTTGTCAAGACTTCTTCGTACATGCTTTGTCAAGACTTCTTCGTACATGCTTTGTCAAACATGAACGTAAATGTTTTGTCAAGACTTCTTCATCGTAATGAGCGTAAAGGACCCAAAAATAATGTTTAGGTGAAGTGGTGCGATCTCACCTTTTTTTTCACCTCTTTTTTCACCTCTTGAATTTTCATGAATTTTCCCGAAATAAAAAATAAAGTTAGTTTTATTTTTTTTATTTTTTTATTTTGTATAAAAAAATAAAAATGTCAACAATCGGCACAACAACAGTTCAAACAACAGCACCAAACTCGTTAGTCATGAATCCAACATCTATGTTAGTAGAGATGAAAAGCTTCATTCCTTCTTCATATACTTTTGAAACAGAAATCCAGAAGATAAAGCAAGAACTTTTAACATGTAATTTAGACTGTAGTGCGAAAGATGAAACAAATGAACAGTATCTTTATGAAATGGAGGACATTATTGACCATTTGCCTAAACTACCTGAAATTCAGCAACAAAAACTAACCATTCCTGAATTCGACGAAATTGAAGCCAAAGCAACTGACTCAGTAGAAATAAAGAAGTTCATACGAAAGGTAAACTATGAGTTTCTAGGATTTCATTGCAACCATAAAGTTATGGACAAAGATTGCGACATGGTATATAAGAATGTTTCTGACATATATAAATCTGAAGAATTTAAGACCTACGACAACTTTGTTTCGTTAGTTGCTGAATGTGTATGGCAGATAAGAGATGAAGATAGAAGAGGTAAAGTATGGAACAAACAAATAAGACCCGCAACTTTTGAGTTAAAGAAAACCATTGACGCCTTAGTTGTTCTAGCAGGTAAGGTTTCAGAATATAACGCAAAAATGAACCCGCAATGTTCTAAATGTAAAGCAGCAATGAGGCGATATAACTACTCCGTCAAAGAGATAGAAAGAATGAGAAACGACTATGCAGACTTAAAGAAAGAAATGACAAACATTGAGTTTGAAACAGTTGGAAAGATAGACAATGACACCAAAGTGGTTAGAATAGGTGATTTAAACGTAAGATACTCAAAGAAATACAACAAATATTCTTTGTCAGACATTATATCTCCATCTGGAAAGAGACCGCAGGACTGGGTTAGAATTGCTTCAACTCAGAAATTTTTGACAAGAAATCCTGAGCTTATGATATCGGTAGCATTTCATGGAACAAGAGCATATCTTATAGACAAAAGTCTTATACCAATAGTTTTGTTATGGTTAGACCCAGTTGTTGGATATAACTTCATAACATATGGTTCATTCGATACGGAACGTTGCAGTGAAGGCTTACTTTACATCGTTCAGAAACCGAAGGACTTCAATACAAAGAGATATAAGATAGGAAGGACATATAATATAACTCTAAGATATGACAGTACAGTCAATAGAGTCAAGGTTGTGTTAGTTAATGATATGAGAGCTGCAGAAACAGAACTACTTGAAAAGTTTGAGAAAAGGTATGGTGCTCCCATAAAAGGTAAAGAAACGTTTGAAGTAGATGAGATAGATAAAGCTATAAAATTATTTGACGAAGTTGCTGAAAAATACATGTAAAAATAACGTTTACCATGTAAAACGCTTGTGAGAAAACAGGTGAAAAAACAGGTGAGATCGCACCTCTTCACCTAAACATTATTTTTGTCTGATTTACGCTCATTACGATGAAGAAGTCTTGACAAAACATTTACGCTCATTACGATGAAGAAGTCTTGACAAAGCATGTACGAAGAAGTCATGACAAAACATTTACGAAGAAGTTTTGACAAAACATATACGTTCATGTTTGACAAAACATTTACGAAGAAGTCTTGACAAAACATATACGTTCATGTTTGACAAAACATATACGTTCATGTTTGACAAAACATTTACGAAGAAGTCTTGACAAAACATTTACGATGAAATCATGAAAATTCACGAGGGTAGAAAACGTGTTAGATCTAACCTTCTACCCTAAAATATATTTTTGCTGAATTCCGTATGAAAATCTGAGTAAAATGGCATAAGATTGCTTCCCTCGGAAAAACCGAGAGAAGAGATTCCGTACGAAAACAGTGAAGAACAGCGAGACCGACTTTTATCTAGGTCGCCAAAACTCTATGAAAACAGTGAAATTTCTCTAGACCGACTTTTTTCGGTCTTGCATAAAACACATGAAAACAGTGAATTTCCTTAAGACAGAAAAAATAAAGTTAGTTTTTTATAAAATATTTTTTTTATCCGGAATATAAAGACAGATATGTCAACAACAGAGAACACAACAACTGCTATCGTTCATGAAGCTATAAATGAAGAATACGAGTACATACAGTATAACAAACAACTCCGTCTCATTCGTTCGGTCAAAGACGATATGTACCAAATGCAAAGTATTTTGACAGCATGTTTTGCTCCAGATACCAAGCTTCCTAAAGACTGGTTTAGGAACCAAAGCACCATTGAACTATTAAATGAAGCACAGCGAGACATACTTTTTTCTGAAAACAGTGAAGAACAGCGAGCAGGTAAAAAACCCCAGTCGCCAAAACTCTATGAAAATCGTGAAAAATTGCCAAACGGTTTGAGAGGTTGGTATGTACATAGACTTCTTGTAAATGCTGTTGCAATGTGGGCTTCGCCTCGTTATGCTTGGAATATTTACAGACTTCTTGACGAAATTCATAGACAAGAACGTGAAGAGATGGAAAACAAGCTTGAAGCAAAAGACAAAAACATTCAGAAAAGAATACCACGTTCGGTACCAAAAGGAAAGGAAAAGAACTATAAGTATATGATTTATACTGAAGAGTTGGAGAAAGAAGAAGATAAAGATATGGTTATGTTGCATTTAGTCAGAAGAAACAACAAAAGCTTTTACGACCTTGCTAAGATTTACAAATCTGACAGAAATTGGTTCTATCGCGAAAACTTACCGATTTCAATGACACCGAATGAAGATGTGAAACAAATAGTTCAAGATACGTTACCTCAAACACACTATGATATGAAAAGGTTGTACAATACTTACCTTCAAAGAAGATTTGCCATTGTTAAAGGAAAAAATAACAGAGTATTTTGACAACTTCAAACAAGCAGAGTAAATGAACTCTTTATTTTTCAAGCTTGACTTTTTACAATTTGAACTTTGTTTGCGTAGATATGAATTCTGAAAGAAGTATGAGGGTCTTGTATGACTTTGTACTTCTCCCATAGTTCATGTCTGTCAAACTTACCTGCCATGGACTCTTTCATAAGTTCCATGAAATCGCCTTCGGACAATCCGGGGAAAAGTACAATGTCAGTAAGTATTCTCTTTACATCCTTACTTAAACTCTTTGCTGTCTGTACACATATTACGACTGAGATGTTAAAGTGTCTGAGCTTCTTAAGAATTCGACACATATCTTGTTCTCTATTCTTAAGCAAAGGATGAGAAGCAAAGTCATCTAAAATAAGAAGACATCTATGAGGGTATGTCTTCCAATCGTAAGATTGCAATTTCTTCGAAATGTATTCTATCTCTTTCTGTTTGTTTCTGAAGTGTTTCTTCTCTAATATTCTCTGCATTTCCTCATTTGGGTCTTTAAACTTAGAATTTATATACTCATTTATAGCATTATACTTCAAAACTCTTCTTTGGTACTTCTTTATCCAATCTAACAACTCAGAGTCTTTTATACATACTAACTTAGACTTCTTTATAATATCTTTGAACGAATTGACGGTTTGGTCAAATTGACCAGAAGTACTACAAATGACTACTAACTCATAGAATGGGTTCTTCTCATCTAGTTCTTGTTGTTTGCAGCCATTTTAAGATAAGTGAAAGTCTTACCCGACCCAGGTGGTGCAATTAGACCTGTTATACCATTCTGAGCAAATAAGAACTTGTCATGTATAGGTTTTATCTGAGCATTTTCTAACTTCCTCTTGTTCTTGTTTAAAACATTCTCAAATTTCTTGTCAATGTCAGCAAACTTTTTTTCTAACATATTTTTAGAAAAATTAAAATTTTTATCTTTTAGAAAATGTCTAGCGATTTCGCTATCTATATTCGAGACAAGCTTTTCGACAGCAAAAACATCTGTCGACCATAAAATCTTACATAGTGTAAACAAGAAAGGTGAATTTGTTCTAAAGTTCTGTTTCTGGGAATATGACAAGAACCATAAAACATTAAGCAGAGCAGTCTTAAAATTTTGTCAATGACAGACTTGTTGACAGAGATGACGCCGATTGGAAAGATGAAGTCCAACAAAAGTTCTTAGAATGCAAAGAAGACACATGCGCTGTTCTTGAAGATGAAATAGAAAACAGAATAGAAGAGCTATTAAAGGACAAAGAACTTTTACATAAATATGGTTGCGCCAAATTTGACGTCTCACCACCAGAAAAGAAGAAGAAAGAAAAGAAAGAAAAGAAAGTAGAAGAAGAGAAGAAAGAACCTGAACCAGTTCCAGAGAAAAAGAAATTTGACATGTAAAAATAAAATTTTATTTTTAGAACATTTCTGGGTCAATGTCAATGTTCTCTTCCTCTTTAGGAGTAAACACTGGCTTAGACTCTAAAATCTTTTTACCCAATTTACCTTGAACTTCTACAACTTTAGACTCATAATATTCATAGTCGTCTGCTTTCTTTGGTTCATAAGGTATAACAAGTTTGTATGCTTTGCCTTCTTTAAGGTTTGAAAACCTTCTGTCAAAACTTTCTTTGACTGCTAACAAACCTTCTATGTCTAAGTCTTCAAATTTCGCACCGTTTTTAGTCACAATAGCAAACTTAACTGGTTCGATGTTCCAAACTTTGCTGAATGAAGACTTTTCAAAATGGTAGAAGTAAACATTCAAATATGTGAATGGGTCTAGTTCTTCTTTAAGTCTTGACATGTACTTGTTTACTGAGATGAATTTTGCCATCTTTTTCTATCGGATAAAAAAATATTTTTTTTAAAATTTACTCATAAAAATTTTTCTTTGTATATACACCATTCTGTACGTCTAAAAGACTTTTGACATTTGCCAAGAATGTTCGTTTAGACGCTGTCATATAACCATATTCTTGGACAATATTGTTTATACGAATCGTACAATGACCTTTCATCTAAACACTCAAAGTCAGTTTCATCTATGAACAGTTCATATACACTCTTGTTTGCTTCTAACAATGTTTGTCTCTCTTCGGTATGTGGAATTTGTCTTGGATTGAACTTTGAAATATCTAATGTCATGAAATATGAGAACAAGTGGTTGTAAAAGTCAGATGTCAAAGTTTCTGCTAAGTCGTCAAATATTCTGTATCTTGCATATGAGCTTCTGACGTTCTGACAACTACATATCTTCTGTCAGAACTTTCTAACTTCATCGAACAGCATTGTTTGAAACCATAATGAAGTTTGCAACATTTTCACAAACTCTTTGGTCTTTATATTTTCTTTCAACAACTCCAACTTTGTCTGTTATAAGACTCTTCAAAGCATCTGAGTTCAAAACTTTTGTTGTATCTATACTTTGAAGTTCGTTACATACTATAAGTTTCATATTCTCTATTGAGGAGTTAAACTTGCCACAGATGTTTTCTAAGTTTGTCATATTCGGATTCGAATAGCCCTCTAACAGTTTGCACAAAATATCTGTAAAGAATGTGTTCTTACCAGTTCCTTGTTTTCCAATTATAATGAGAGCAGTTTCATTTTTAGCACTTGGATGTTGTAAGATGTTTGCAAACCAACATAAGATATACTCATAGACTCTTTCGTTTCCATTGCATATAATTTCTTTGACATGGTCTAACCAAGCTTCTATAATATTTTCTTTCCATTCTACTTGTTCATATTTATATCCAGTGAAGATAGAATAGAAGTTTGGAGAAGGTGTATAGAACTTTAATACCTCGAACTGAAAAATCTTCTAACTTTGACAATAAGATATCCCAAGCATCTAACATCTTCATGCCAACTTGTACAACTTTTATTTTCTTAAGTTTCTGTCTACATTCTTGTTCAGACACTATTGTTGCTCTTGGTTTGTTAAAGACTACATCCCATTCTTTCATAACATAACATTCTGGGGCAGAGTCGACATAAATGACTAAACGTTTTCAAATTCTCGACTGCTTTGTTATAGTCTCGAAATGGACACATATTTCTGAATGCTTGGAAGTCATAAAAATCTGAAACATCTATTCTGTACATTTTTATAAAAATAAAAAAATATTTTTTTTTATTCTTGACTTTGTTGTTGCATTTGTTGCATTTGTTGTTCTTGAGCTATTTGTTGTTGAAGTTGTTCTTGTAATACAATACTTTCACCAGTTGCATCTTCCAATTCGAACTTTCTGCCGTCATTGACAAATACATAGGACATAAAAGTTTTACAGGAACAAAGTTTGCGTCAACTAATGTCAACGTTATACTTGCCAAAGTGTTTGAGTTCACTAAGGTTGAAAATTCTGCATTCGAATGAACAATAGGCAAACCAGCAGAGAAAGTATTGTTTATACGCATAAGTATCTTTTGGTCATAATAGTTTCTGTCGACATTCGAATAACACTTTGAACCTAAGTTTGAAACAATATATAAAATAGGTTGTACTTAAAGTCAATGGAATAGACATTCCTTGTATGACACCTTTTCCTGTTATAGGAAACTGTTGTAGTAAAAACCAGAAATAAGTTTTGTATTATAGCTCATATCGTTTATAGTAAACTCAGTCGGACATCCAAACATAATGAAACCTGCTCTAGTTGCAGCACATGTTACACCCGTCCTTAAAGTATTAAATAAGTCAACAAAACCTGTTGGTGGTATATCTGAGTAAGTATCTTCAAAGGAGTATTTTTTACCATTCACAACAATAAAGTCTTCTGGTGTCAAAAGAGCAAAACAGGCTTTAGTCGTCATTGTGTTTAAAGTTAGTTTACAATACCGTCCTTGAGGACTTTGTAAGTTTGTTGTTATAGAATTATATGACTCAGGGTTTTTAGTCGTAATAGTATAAACCATTATATCTTCTGCCATTTACTTAGCAAATAAATTTTAATGAAATGTTGTGGTCGTCAAATATTTTTATGACGTCTGGGAAACTATACTTTAAGTTCAACGTTTCACCTCCTTTCATAACGTATATCTTGTCAATGACATTATATGAAACACCACAGCAACTAATGTCGGTTCTATTTCTTTGATGTTTATATCGTCTGCCTCTGTCAAAAGTTTCAATAGTTCTTTCAAGACTTCATGAGGTGCAATGACATATGAGTTCACTTTTTACAGGGTTGTGTTCGACCAAGTTTAACATTATACCTAAAGCTTGACAAATCTTCTCCTGAGTTTGAAGTTTGTCTTTCAGTTGTTGGTAGTCGTTTCGAATATCTGCAACAGAACTTAAGTCTCTGCTAACTTCAGGATATGTTGGTTGTTCTTTTACAGGAACAATTGTTATACCATCTTCGTCTTCGTATGGTTTCCCCACTTCAACATCTCTGTCTTTGACATTGACAATAACACTTTGACTGTTTGTTTGAGTTGGTGAATTTAACTTCACATCTGCCACCGCCATTAAACCTTTTGAAACACTTACGCTTCTATTTTTCGGAAATGACATTTTACTTAGAATAAAAGATGGACGTATTCGAGTATCTCTTCGAATTGAAGCAGAACAAAGTTTACACACACAAACAATACAAATACATTGACAGAATAGTTCTTTATACAAACAATGGTAAATGTTATAGAATAGCAGTCTTTGCTGAACCTAAATATTTTCATAAAGCAAAGAAAGTTGGTATAACTGAAATGGTGAAAGTTCTTGACGTTGACAAAAATATAACAACAAAACTTAACAGATATTTCTAAAGGTAAGTTTATCTTACAATATTATGTCAAAACTGGCGTACTGTCAATATTTGACGGAGAAAGTCAGTTCAAGAACAACTTACTGACCTGCTGCCAAAAATCTGCTCGATGGAAGCTGTCGTTATGCCAATCTGAGGAGCCCCAGCAGGTTTCATCGAACGAATCTTCAAAGAGCATCTTCCGTGAAAGTGCTATTGGTTTTGTAAACTTCTTTGCTCTCAGTTCATCTGGACCGTCTCTGTCACCAGTATATTGTATTTGTACAGTACCAAACAGTTGAAATACCACCCATAAAGTCTTCTGAGTCAGCAAATGGAATGCCAAGCCAAAAGTTTGAACGGTCTCCATTTGTATATTGAGTTTTTGACCTCCTGTATGAGTCCATACTTTCACATATGGCATAATAGAACTTTGCATTTCAGGGTTAATGGTTGTTGTGAAGTTGTTGTTAAAGTTCATAGCATCTAATGTCAAGTTGTATGACCTCATATCCTCAACTGTAGAATATTCTTCTCTTGGATAATATTTGCCATCTATGTTTATATGATATTTAATACCAGGGTTGTAGAAACAAGATAGTCATTTATAGTTCGTCTGAACAGTACAAACATAGTATCTGCATGTTTCATTGCAGTTGTTAAAGCAATATCTGTTCTTGCACCTGGGTCAGCACTTTGGTTTCCAACTTCACCTGCAAAGTCTTTGACAGATATTTGGTGTATAGGAACATAAGTGGAACTGCAATATATTGGCAGCTAAAGCATTTGAAATATCTGGGTCCAACATATAGACTGCAAGTCTGCTTTCTATTCTCTTGCATTCAAACTTTTCGCATGTAAACTTAACTGGGTCCCAAGCAGTTCCAGCAGCATTGAAATAATAGTTTACTTCATTGTTGAAGTTTGAGAAACCAAAGTCTAAGTCAACTTTGTCTTTGCAAAATTCGGCGAATGACGTTTGATTTGTTCCCTTTACGTCTGTAATAGTGAATGGGTCTTGTGTTGGTGCAATGACTAAGTTATTTTTGCTTGGAGTAAGTTCAATAGAAATTTTTCCTGCCCAGTTTGGCAAGTATCTTAAAAACCTGAAGATGAGGAAAGATGACAAAGGAACTCTAAGTTTCAGTTTTACTTTGGTTACTGCTGCTGCAGTTTGTCCAGAAAGGTTAACATAAACTCCTGGAACGTTAGGGTCAAGTCTTCTTATTTTCTCAATATTTGCATACTGGTCTGTTTGTTCTCTAGCTTGTGGTTGTACTGAGTTTCTCAAAGCGAACCATTCATAGTTTGCCCATGTTACTGTTTGAACTAAGTCAGAGTTAGAATATATCTTATATCCCATGAAAACTTCTGGAGCATATTGGTATCCGACATAGAAAATTCCATTGCAACCTTTCTTGTCAGACAACTTGGCAGAAGGTTTTATTTCAATGTCTTGTTCCACGTATAAGAATGAGTTGTCAATAGAAATAATATGAAACCTGTCGCAAGCAATATCTACTGTTGTTGAAGAACCTTCTCCAAACTCACCTACGTTTCCATAAGAAACAGCAGTTGTATATTCGTAAGTTCCAGGAACTATTTCTGACCTTCTAATGGCATTGTCGCATTCGTTATACCATTCGGAAACATTTCCGTTCATGGCATCCAAAACTGTTGGCGTTATATTCTGAGCGGCGTACATTTCATATGGGTAAAAATATAGAATAGTTGGATTTATATATCATAATAGAACCCACTCGGACCAAGCTTTACTTTCTTCCTGACTGAGTTTTTAACTCTTCTTTTTCCTTCATTGCCACTACTTTCACTAGATGAAGTTACTTCTTCACTACTTTCACTTTGTTCTACTCTTCTCTTCTTCTTTGGTGTCGCTTTTGGTAACTTGCCCTCTGCTTTAAGTTGTTGCATCTTTGCCTCATGTTCACCTAGTATGTTGTAAATTTCCCATGTCCTTTTTGCCTTTGGGCTCTGGTCGCCCATCTCAGGTAACCTATATCCTAGAAAGATTTCGTCATAGTTTGTATTTGAGTCTTCGCGTATTGTTTGCATGACTCTTTCCTGAGTTTCCGGTTCAAGCTCTTCAAACAGAGCTTGTCCATATGGAATAAGCTCGTTTCCAAATATATGTTTTTGTAGCCATTCTGGTTTTCTTTCCATGTTACCAATAATATCTTTTGTGAATGGGAAAGCTTTTACCCAATGTTTCAGTCTTGCGTCATTTATTTCTGTAGTTGGTTTTATTTTGTCAAGGAACATGTTTTTCAATACTAACATTTCATTTGGTACTGTCCATTTGAGTTTTCTTAAATATTCATCCCTTCTCAGTTCATTGTCTGCAAAGTAAGTTTTTATGACATTTTGTAAACTTTCGTTTGCAAGGTCATGTACAATAGGTTCTCTTCCTTCTATCTCCCTAACTTTCTTTCTAAACTCTTCACCAAATATACCATCTCTATGGTTCTGTGTAGTTCTTTGAGATAAATGTTCTAGAACGTCAGGTGTTATATTTCCATCAGCCATGTTCATTTCATACTGGTCCAAAATATCTGCATGTTTCATATCTTTCAATGGCATTAAAGCCGCGCTGAAAATACCAGCTATATCTGGTTCACCATTCACTTCCATTGCGTCTACAACTTCTTGGAATTGTGGTTGTAAGTTTATGAACCACCTATCCGGATTAGCTTTATGACCCCATCTCATTGTAGTTCCATAGTCTGCAGAAACAAAAGTAGATTTGTTTCCATATTGGTTAGGTTCTGAATGAACTTTAAACAATGTTTCATTTCTATATGTTTTGGTGAAATTTAACCTTTTATTTTCACCGAGTTCAGCCAAAGATTGAACGTTATATGGTCGTAAGTAAAAAGGATTGTTGTATTTGCGTACACTTTCTTTCAGTTCTTCCATTCTATGCTGAATATTTTCATCTGATGTTGGAGTCTTTTGTATGTCGGCGAACATTTTTCGATATTCTTCTACTATGTCAGCTGAATTTTTCTTAGACTCTTGGAAAGATTCCATATTCTCCGCATACTCTTGTTGAGGGTCAAGATTTTTCGGCTGTTCCAAATCTTCATCTAGTTCTGTGAAGTTAGTTTCCAGAGGAGGGACTTGTTCGTTTCCTTCAGGCTCTTCTAGCTGTTGTTGCTGAACTATTTCTTCCATGTCTGGTTGTATCTGAACTTCTTCCTGTGGAGTTTCTTGTACCTCATCTGCTGGCATTTCATATATTCCGAGACCGTTTTTAAAAAGTTCCCTATTTAAGCCATCCGCATTCATAACCCTTTCTTCTTTCGTTCCGTCTCTATTTTTTACGCGTTTCATGAAGATAGTTGAATTATCATTTAGCTCTGACACCAAATATCTCGGAGTAAATTCATCCATGTCATTTGGATGATATGCTATTAAATCATATCCCTTAGCGAGCTTGTATTTTCCAGGTTTGAAATTATATCCCATTTGGTGCTGAACCATAAAGCTAAATAGGTTCGGGTCAGTATTTCCTTCCTTGAACTTTCTAATAGCTTCTTTATATCTGTCACTAAAGTCAAGAGTATCTGGGTAACCATAATTTTCCTTAAGCATTTTTAAGAATTCTTGGTTTCCTTGTTCTCTACTTCTTTTATGTCCTTGCTCTGTTTGTGATTGTTGCTGTGCAGTGTTTTGAACTGTTGGTTGTGGTGCAGTGTTTTGAACTGTTGGTTGTGGTGCTGGATTTTGAACTGTTGGTTGTGGTGCAGTGTTTTGAACTGTTGGTTGTTGTGTTGGTTTTGGTGCATGCCTGTGTCTGTGTCCATGTGACGATGTAAATGTTTTAGGTAGTCCTGGTGCAGGTGCTTCTCTTGGAGGGTTTGGTGGTATATAAGTTCCACCAGCTGGCACATATGTTCCATCTGCAGCATAATGTCCTACCTGACTTTTCGTTTTTAAGAAAGCATTTACTAGGTCTGTTTTAGTCTGTTGTAACTCTTTTTCTTGACTTTCCACAACAGTTGCTCTAACGGCGTCATAGGCACTTTGAACTGCCTGTCTCGTTGCTGCATCTGTTATTTTCGTCATATTTGTGCTACTTCTCTTAACTCGTTGTCGAAACCTTCAGACTTCAGTTTCTTTCCAGATGAGAAGTCGTTCACTAGTTTCACCTTACTATGAAGAGCTTCGAAGGCGTTCTTAAAGTCAGCATTCATTAAAGCTTCATTTGAACTGTCTTCATCCGCTTGTATTTTTGTCCTTATTGACCCTATAAGTTGGGCTGCTTTGGCGTTGGCTTGGGCATCTAACCAGTCATTATTAGCTTTTATATATTCTGCGCTTTTTCATTGCCTTTTGCATGGCTGCGTCGTTATTTTTACTTTCTTGTGCTAAGTTTTCATACTGTACGGTTTGGTTTTGCAACTGTAAAAGTTTTTCTGCCTTTACATTTGCTTCAACTTCTTTTTTATACTCATCGCTATCCATATATGTCTTCAGGGCTTTTTGTTTTATCTCTTCATCTTTCAGTACTTTATATTGAGTAGTATGGTTTTTCAAATTATAACATCTTGTTCCATTTTTGCTACTTCTGCTGCTTTTTCTGACACTTTTTTCGCATATTCCTCTGTACTTAGTTCTTTCAGTTGTTCTTCTTTCTTCTTTTTCTCTACGTTTAACTCATTGAGTTTCTTTGTGTGTCTGTCATATTCTAGTTTCTTTTCGTTTTCACTTATTTGTTTCTGTATGTCTATGTTTGACTTTTTGACATCTGTTATTTGATTTTTGAGTGAACTCAAATTCATTTGACTTTGAGGGTTATAAGCTGTTCCGTCTGCAGCTCCACCATAGCCTGCCATTTTCGCTAAAAGTGCCGCTCTTAAACCCCCACTCTGTGCACCAATAACTCGGTTTAAAAGCATAGGGTTGCTTGACATTTGTTGCAACATAGTGGGGCCATTCATCATTTGTTGTTGCAACTGTTGTTGTGGTGTCAGTTTTACTATTGGATGTTTCAATGCTCCCTTCCTCTTACGTATATTCTTACGTAGCTTACGTGGCATTTTAAGTGAAGTAAAAAACGGTTTTTGACAGATGTTTATATGACACTTTTTGTTCAGCACAAAAAACTACTCGGTCAAAGTGTTGTCAGTTTTGTAAAATAACCGTCCTATCTCATTCTATAAGGGAGAAAAGGCTTCTCAAAGTATACTTCCGTGGAACGCCTGTAACTTTTCCTGTAGCGACGATAGACCCTTATTTGTCCGGACAAAGTTATACTAAACATCTTCAGGGCTAGAGGGCACGAAGTGCCTGGAGGCCCCACTACCTTTTTTTTTTTTTTTTTTTTTGCTTCGCTCGCGGCTTTCTTTATTATTTTAAATTTGCATATTTCCATCAAAAGTTCATAAGGTAAAAAATTTCGTTTATATTATTGCAAAATAAAATCTTCATTATCAAAATAATATTAAATGATAATATAATATAATTTATAAACAACTATTATTTAATAAAGTTTAATTGCCAAGGTTCATCTAATTTTTTGATTTTTAATGTTTTATGAATTTTATTTATCATGTATATATCTAATGAAGATTATATATGTCGAAGATAAGTACCTTAATATGTACGTAAAAATTAATGAAATTTATTTTGAATGTAGAACCGAGCAATTTTCAAATTTTGTGCTTTTTTTGAATTTTCTCGATACCAGATAAGTTGTGTTGGCTAAATAATATATGGATACAATGTGTCTTATAGATGAATATATGCACAAAGTTTAAGAGGCCATTTTCTTTCAGAAACCGAGATTTGTGAATTTTTTCAAATTTTGTGTTTTTTTTGATATTGAAATTTCATTTCATTTTTTTGATGCATATCGATGCACCATGCGAACTTAAAGAAAGGCTATCTTATATAGATGCTATGAAAGCTGTCATTGATAACGAATGCCATGCAGGTTGGCCATATCAATTAAAAAAAATCCAAATTTAGGGGGAACAAAATTAAAATTCAGGTGCAGTGCAGATAAATGTGAAGCATGTATCTCATTTCTAAAGGATGATGAAGAATATATCCTAACAGAATATAATGGAACACATAATCACAATCAAATCAAAGATGAGACAAAGAAATACCACACATTATCACAATGCTATCGTCGGGTACTTATTAATTTTATAAAACAGGGGGTGATCCGAAAATGGCTCAAATTGAATGCGACAAAAAACTTGATCTGGATGATCCACTTAACAGGCCATCTTTTTTGAATGCATCTTCAGATCAAATGAAAACAATTCAGGAAAAAGGAAATAAAAAGATCAAAGGTATTCAGAAGTACGATGATAATCAATTCAAGTCAACTCAATTATTTAAGGGTATCAAAGAACAAGAGTCACCAAAAGATTTAATTTATTTCGATGTCGATAATTACAACAAACCAAAGAAATTAATCTTTTATTATGCTTCTTTCAAATTTCTGGACATAATCAAAATTGTGAAAGAGCATTTTATTGATGCAACCCATTCATTACTTGAATTTAAAATGTTGTTTTACATGATATCAGCCAAATTTCCAAATACACATGCATTCCCAATTTTTCAATTTGTCGTTTATCCAAACACTTCAGAAAATATTGCATTCTGTCTCAAGGCATTTTTTAACTGGGCAAAAGTAAAACCAAAATATTTTATGTCAGATTGTGCACAAGAAATCGAAAATGCGATTATCAACTCTTTTCCAGAAGTTATCCTTCATTGGTGTGCAGTTCATGTAATGAGGGCGTTCAGAAAAAATTTGAAAGATTATGCATTTGAGAGTTCAGACAAATTGATATTAGATACAAAAATGAACTATCTTGTATACGGCAGAAATGGCAAGAAAGAATGGATTGAACCAACGTTCAAAAAAATTCTGAAAATAGTCGAAAAATGCCCAGAATTTTCAAAATACATACAAAATCAATGGATATCAAACCAAGAAAGATGGACAGCCGCTGAAAGAGATGAAAATTTAGCTCTCACAAATAACATTTCAGAATCGATTAACAAAAAAATTAAATATTACTACTTTGGCGGAACAATTTTCATGAGATTTGATCGATTTGTGATGAAAGTAATCGATTTTATCGTTCCTTCATTTTATTACAGAATTTCTCAAGATATAGGGTGTCCAAAGGTGCGTTTAGCACAGCGCTCTATATGAGACTATTAAAGGAGATATATGCTGATTATAAATATATAATAAAAAATATGAATATATGTATATGATGAGTATGTTGTATTTTGGCGCCATGCCGGGATATAAAATGAATTTTGAGACAAGAGGCGGTTTCGCGGGAAATTTTGGCGGGATTTTTTTCATTTTTTTAATGAATCATAAAGAAAACATCCTCGCTCTTGCCAAAAAATGCAAAGACTGTAAAAAATCTACGAGACATTGGTAAAATGCTTCGGTATGGATGCTCCTAGCTATTCCACTGTAACGTATCATGTTAGGATGTATCACTTCATGAACAAAAAGGCGCCCATCATAAAAATTGACAAAAAATCGCCGGATCAAAGAAAAATCAAAGCAATTCTTCAAGCGCTAGATGAAGACCCAAGAGCATCACTCAGAAGGATAGAGGAGATGACAAAGATACCACGTACAA